TCTTTAAATTTGATTAAATTTAAGAATTCTCATGGTTACAAATACTGTATATGATAAGGATGATTAAGTCCAGCATGATGAAACCTCCAAATTTTTGAGTTTAAATAGAATTGTTAAACCCAATGCTTTAATAAAATCCCAATCTGAAACCCATTATTTTAATTTTTCCAGAGATTTGAATACCAAATATTTGCAGTGACAATGGCAGATTGTGTTACCATTTTTGGTGTAATGCGTTGAGCCTAGCATGTTTTTCTGGGTTGAACTCGTATATTTTTTTTAAGGATTGAAAAATTCGTCTAGAAAAAAATATATACGAGTTCAACTCCGAGAAACTTGCCGGCGATTTCAAGAAGTGTTGCTATATCTTTCTCTTTAGATCTTTGATTATTATTTTTTTTGCCCCATTATGAGTATTCATTTAGTATTTCTTTGTATTCTTTCTATGACGAGTTTGCATACTTAGACAACGTTAATAATCCATATAAAATTAGCAGATTTTCATACATGTCGTAACAGTTTTTCATACGTGTCTCTTTGTGTTTCATAATCAAACAGTTTAAAGTTTTCTATAATTTAGTGCAGATTGAAATTAACCAATTAACTATACCATATAAATGCATTACTCTATTTACAAAGTAATGCTCGCAAAATAACTAAAGTGTGATTAGACATTTGCTATAAGCCTTGCCTCTTATGCATTCATTAGATCAGAATAAAACGAGAAAATTAGGGCAAATGTTATATGGAAAACGAGGGATCAAATTTTTTGAATCACAATAAAACAACTAAAGTATAGGAGTATTTGAATAATTGTGCGTTCAATAAATCGGAATAGAACATGAAAATCATGGCAAATTATAGCTATGAAACATGCGATCGAGTTGTTCGAATTCACAAAAATAACTGAAAGTATAGGAGTATTTGTGTTTACTTTCAAGAGAATTGATGCGAGTGTAGTGTAAAATGATGGAAATGAAGGCCAATAAATACAATACTGCAGTGTAATTGAATCCATGGTTAGAGAATTTCATTAGTTTAGAGAGGCAAAGAAAGAGATGAATAATTGTGCATTCATTAAATTTACGAAGGGGAACTCTAAAATGGTAAGGAATTCCAATCGATCAGATGGTAGCTTGCAAATTTTATAATTCCAATCATTGTTGCTTTAAGGCTATGTATGATAGACACAAATTTTCCATGAAAAACGGAAAACAAATTCCATTTCTCACTTTTGACCTGTTTGATAGCCAAAATTTTCTAGGCAAATGATTTTCTTGGCTCGCCCTTCACGCGCCTGTTTTCTTGGTTTTTGATGAAAATAAATTCTTGGCTGCTGTTTTTTTTTATTTTTATTTTTTGGCAATGGAAACAGATTTTAAGAATAACTGTAAAAGATGACATTCCTTAAATTGACAATTTCTATATAAAATAAAGTCAAACAAACACCAAAATGCAGATGATTTTCGGATCCTTTTTTTTTTTTTTTTTTTGGCAATGGAAACAGATTTTAGGACCAACTGTAAAAGTGAATATCCCTTAAAATGACAATTTTCGTGAAAAAACAAAGTCAAACGAATATCAAAATACACTTTTATTTCAACTTTTTCCACGTGGAAAATTATATCAATCAAACACCATAATTGACAATTCTCACTAAAACAATTTTTAGACAATTTAATTCCCTAAAATTCGTTTTCTTTCCATCCAAATTTCATCTTTAAAATCAAACGGACCCTAATTGTAAGGAATGTTTCGTGGAGAACTTTTGAAGGGGCATTCTAAAGTAGTAAGAAACATGTTTAGAGTTCATAAGTTAATATTATCCATATACTCATTATGATCTCTATCATCGACTCTAAAGAAGTACAACTATGTATATAAGGCCAATGGGGTTGCATTAGAATGAGGGAACTTGTAATTTTTTTGAGCTTAATCTGACATTGCAAGATTCTTCCAAATCCTATAACAATTCCTTGTCATGTGAATTTTGACTTGCACGAAAGTCGTAACAATCTGAGCACGTCTTGAAGAGAATCTCGAGAAAATAGACATTTCTGTGAAGATGCGGATTGCCCGCACCAGAACAAAATGACCTATACTACAAAAGTTAAATAAATAAATATGTCTCCAATGATCAATAATAATGATCAGTAAAAGTTATGGAACTATGGTTGTTGGCTGGTCACTAATTTACCATCGATGAAAGTTTGTAGCGACCAATAGAGTGTGATCGCTAAATATATAACATCTAGCAACCAAAATATGCAAAAAACGAGCCAGAAGAATGGCACCAAGTGTTCCAACAACCACATTTTGGTTGTTGGAACCTTATCCTATTAAGTGATCATGTACTTGGTCGCTAGAAGTACAAAAAAATACGCAAAAAATAAGTGAGAATAATGGTGCCAAGTGTTCCAATGATAAAAAAATGTATCCGATTTAGTGACCATGTACTTTAGTCACTAAAAGTGCCAAAATAAGTGATAAAATAAGTGGCAACAACCAAACAATGTTGGTTTTTGAAACTTACAATTAGCTACCATATTATGGTCGCTGAAAAATGCCAAAAACACGTGAAAATTTCGCATGGTCTATCGCATCAATTGTTTATGCGACTAACTTACTGATAATTTTTAAAACAACGACCACGAAATAGTCACAGAAAAGTACGAAAAAATAGTCCAGTATTAATGGACTCCTTTTTACCATTCACTTTGTGGTCGGTGATAGTGTCCTATAGCAACCACGTTTGATTGGTCACTACTTCTTTGATTGGTGGATCCCAGTTTTTTTGTAACCATCGGCAATAAAGTAAGATTTGGCCTAAGGACCCAAAGTTGCTCAAGCCGCCTCTCACCATGTTACTAGTCCCCAGCCTCGTAGTTTGCTCAGTTAGCGATCCTTAAGGTGCAAGGTCTTGGAACATCATAAAAAGACAGCGGTCGACATTGCTCGTGTTGAGTGATGGTGGGATAGTTGGAATGTATCAATTCTGTTTCCTATGTAATTATTTTCTTTCCTTTATCTTTTTTTACCATTATTATTAATTCCCAATGAGAGTATAATTTTTCTTTCAATATAAAATTGACTATTCTATCAAGAAGTTTGTGGCATAATTTCTTTGTTTTGCAAATATTGGGGAACTCAACCGTAATTCACAATGAAATTCAAGTAATAAAATTATAATTGATTCCAGTGATTGAAATAGTATGAAATTATAGAGAAAATTTTATCGGCTAGAAGCCAATTTTAATTTAAATTGGAGAAAACTGGAATCAATATTCGACTTTATCGACTAGGGGAAAAAAAGAGAGAGTGAAAAATCACTTATAATCAGTTGTAATATTTGATTCAAATCGTATGACAAATTTTAATAATACTGCAATTGATATACAACTAAAATTGCTAGAAAATAAAAAATATTACTATTACCTATGTGTAAAATCATCTCTCACTCTTATATATATATAAAAAATTCTATTTTTGAAGGTACTTAGATCTACTATCACTATTTTCCATGTCTATTTTTACAGTTAAAATTTCCCAATTCAAGATCAAGTTATATGTACTTTGTAACAATCTTTAAATTTGATTAAATTTTAGAATTCTCATAGTTACAA